AACATTTAACGAAAAGCGCACAGCCACGGCGCAAAGCAGGACGGTATTGTAAGGATATTATAATTAAAACAACTATCGGAGGACGCTGAAAGGTGAGGGACCCCAAATCTAGAGGAGCTAATTTCGAAAACGTTTAGTAGTTTATTTGCCTCGGCATGAGAAGTGGCAAGGTGGGTCCCGGAGCCAAACAAATTTGCATAGCGGAAAGGATAGCAATCGCACGTAAGCAAAAAAAGCAAGGAGCAGTAAAGAAATTTAGCTTTGTACTTCCACTAAATATGGCAAGCGAATAATGGGGCGGAAATGATTATGAGGCTGCATACTAGTACACTGGGAGCCATGCGGAGATCGGATTAGCACACGTGGCTCGGTTCAGAAGCATTAAGGGGACCAATCTTAAAGCTGAGAACATCAAAGCCGTGGAAATGACCAATCGTAAGAAAAGCGCTGGCCTAAAGACCAACAAAATTAATGAATACCGTAGGAGTGACGCAGGAATGATAAAGAGAAATTAAGTGGGCTGAAAAAAGCCCCCAAACAAATTTTTAAAATTTTCAGACAGATGGCTTTGTAATTGTGTGGCAAAGAAGAAGAGGACTGATGAGGCCAGCATAAGCATAACGTGCTATCCAGAAATATAAAGCTTAAAAATTAGCCAAAGTATAGCGATAGACGATTTATTTCGAGTAACACGAACCAAATTAAGGGTCTATATACAGTGTTAGTTTAAAAAACGTTAAAATTCACGGCGGTGATACTTATCAGGAGAGAAGAATGAAGTTACAACAAGTCTCTGGTTAAATTTGCGACCCGTTAACGCAGTTGCGGCCTTTTGGCAATCGATTAGACTGGCAAATTCAACATATATTTTCCCGACACCCGGAACCTCAACTCCCGGTATTGGCCGAGGTATCTCCAGACTGCGAACTGTTCCATATTTGCCACATTCGGCTCTAATATCCTCAACGATATCCTCGTACTCTTCGTCTTCTTCGAGTTCTCCTTGGTCTATCATGTTCATGAGACACAAGACCTCAGTGGGAGGTCCACCGCCTCGAACAGTGATATTGCCGGAGCCAGTAGTATTAGTCAAAACAGGATCACTAATACCAGCGATTGCAAGTATTTGACCAGTACTAGTTGCAGGATTCTTGGCACCCACACTGGCTCTCTGGACAATAAGTTTCTTATCACCGAGTTGCATTCCATTGAGACCAGCACAGGCATGATCAGTTACATTTGGATCAGCATATTCACAGAAGGCATATCCCTT